TTCTCAGTGCAGTGCTTTAACCCACTGCGCCACCAGGGAGGGCCCACTTTTTTTTTTTAAAGATGTATTTGTGTATACAGAACTGGGGTACAGGCCAGAGGTGTAGGGGTGGTGAGAGGCTTCACCAGAGACAGATTGGGGAGAACAGGCAGATCGTCGAAGTACACTGCTGAGGGGAGCAGTGGGCGGGTCAGGAGAGGTCTGCTGCACCATGTGGGGCAGGTGGGGATCAAACTCATGTGTTAGTGGCTTTAGCTTCTCAGTGCAGTGCTTTAACCTGCTGTGCCGCCAGGGAGGTCCCCTTGCCACTATTTATTTTTCCTGATAGAAAAGTCCCCGCAAATTATCTCTGATTTTGTTTCTTAGCTCACAAAGTTTGCCAGTTCCAGCTGTAGACAGGGGTTTCTCAGCAATCCAGAGACGTTCAGACTGCACCTGATATTCCACTAAATTACTCATGCCTGGTTCCTGAGTTGGGCCTTTCACATAGACTGCTCTGCTTCACCTTTACTGAATAGAGTCTGCACACTCATCACCAAGCTGGGATTCACAATTCTTTATTTCTCTCCTCCCTCTGCAAAGCTCCAACCCTGCAATCCAAATGACTTCTTGATTTCCCTTCCTTGTGTCATGTTGCTCTTTATCCTTACATGGATAAACCCTAACCTTATCCCCTTAGGGTTGCTGGGCATCTTTCTAACATTACCATGATATGTATCTCTCCTTGTCCATTAAGAGAAAGTCTGAACTCTTTTAGGCTAAAGGTTTTGTAAGTCTCTGTGTTCCAGGTACACATAGAACCTGATAACTGGTAATAGAGGATTTTATTACTCAGAAGCAACAAATGAAGTTCTGTAAAGCACATGTAGTTTCTTCAAGCATGACTGTAAGCTCACATGTTGCTGGGTTGGCTATAAGAGGAAGATCTGTGGTTTCTCAGCCAGCTTGCACATCTCCATGCTTATTTATCATGGGCTGTCATATACATAATGACAATACTTGTAACAGAAAAATTTACTTTCTTTTCTTAAAAAAAAAAAAAGATTTATTTATTTATTCATACAGAACTAGGGCCCAGGCCAGAGGTGCAGGGGCAATGAGAGGATCCATCAGGGATAGAGTGGGGAGCAGAACAGACAGACAGAAGTACATTGCTGAGGGGAGCAGTGGGCTAGACAGCAGACATCTGCTGTACCATGTGGGTCACCTTCCTAGCCAAGTATTAAACTTGTGCTGAAGTGGCTGTGGCTAGCTTTGCAGTGCTGAGTTTTTAACCTGCTGTGCCATAAGGGAGGGCCCAAAAATTTGGTCTCTATGAAAAATGGCTTCCCCTCAAAAAAGCTAACTTTAGAGACAGGATAGAAGTAATAATAAGAAAAGAAATCTAAGGGAAGGGTGGCTTTTGGTCAGAATAAGGCTTACTTAAGTTTAGAGAGTTTCAAATTTGGGGATGGTTAAATCAATGATCAGAGCAGACTCTCCCATAAGCCCACTGGAAATCAGAAAAAGCAGTTTATGGATCTGAGATTGGGATCCAAAATGGTGGCAAAGGGACGCTAGGATTGAATTTTCCTAGGACTGAAAGAGGGTGAAGTCTACAATCAGAAGTGAGCAGAAAATTGCATACAAAGCAAAACTCCATGCTCACTTGCAGTTTGGATCCGAATACTGCCTGCATGTCAGAGTTTCCTATGGGGGAATGGTTGGTACCAGGAGTGAATGTAGCCTACGTGCCATTGCTGCAGGATGGGAGTTGCAGGAAAGGGACTTTCATGATTGCCCAGTGAAACTGAGAGGGGGTGAGGTCGGTAGATGGAGGATGGCGAGATGCAAGACAGGGACCTCACAATCATCCTTAGGAAATGAACAAATACAGGGTGGAGGCTTGGGGGAGATCTTCAGGGACAGCATATTCACAGTATTGCTGCTCTTGTGAAGTTTTGGTGTGACAATGCTGGACTTGGTGGCCACTAGTTCCTAATATACCAGAAAGAACACCACAAAGAGATGCCTGTCAATAACAGAACAGTGTCTCAACATATAGAATACATTAAGAAATAAACAATAGGGAGAAGGAAAAACACAAATATGTCCTTTCCTCAGGGAAAGGATATACCACAAAAAGAAAACCAGCTACAAGAATTCAACAACAACATAGAAGAACTTCTTTGACTGTCAGGGAATTTAGAAATCATCATGATTAAAAAATATAAAGTTGATGAAAAGAAGAGATGATGAAAGAAAATAAATCATGAATTGTAGAATGATACTGAATCCCTAAAGAAGGAAATGAAATAAATGCAAGAGATTAAAAGATTCATGGAGGAAGTAAAATTTTCTGGCAAAAACAATGAAAATAGAATTGATGAAATGGAAGAATGGATCAGTATTCTCAAAGATGCCGAAGTAAAGTGACCCAAGAAAGAAAATTAAAGAGGAAAATAATGAAGAAACACTTCGAGAACTATCTGACACCAAAGAAGGAAATATAAGAGTTATAGGAATACCAGAAGGTGAGGAGCGAGACAAAGGAACCATGAAAATATTCAAAGAGGTAGTTGAAGAGAGCTTCCCAAACATGAAGGAAATGAAAATAGACATACAAAAAGCAAGAGCACTGAATTACCACAATGAAAGGAAGCACATATAATAGTAAACTTTCAAGACTCCAAGACAAGGAAAATAGAATGCAGGCAACAAGGGGGAAGAAACAGATAACCTGTAAAGGAAAACCAATCTGGCTGACATCAGACTTCTCTGAAGAAACACTGTGGGCAAGAAGATAATGGAATAACATATTCAACAAAATCCAGGACAACAAATACCAACCATG